TGGATTAGTCGGGGACATATCCATTTTTTTAAAGTGAGAAGACACCCCAAAATTTAAACATTAATTTGCAAAAAACAATTTGATAACTTTTGAAAGCCGTGTATGACATGTCCAAGTATGGGATGATTCAACAAAACTGTCCATAGCATATGGATGGACCATAGCAACCTTAGTTCTTCATACAGAAAAATATTGGAAATTGCAATGTTTTTAAAAATCCATATTTTCCACAAAAATAGATATATCGAGGTGAACCAAAAACAAAACTGTTAAGAATAGATGTGACTTAATAAATAAAACTTAATTTAGAACAATATACGGTTTTGCCACTCTACAGAGTGTCTTAAACTTATGTTAAAAAACATCTTTTTGTTTAAACCTGTATATTATAAACGTACGGCTATTTTTTTAGTAATTTTTTAAAATGTTAGCGATTGTCCATTAATTTATCTACAATATTCTTTAATACTCGTTTAAATCCGACATCAAATAAAAAGTTATTTGCGATCGAAATTCATCGAAAATTTGTGTGGATCGATTATTTTGCCTGTGAGTGTAAATATGGCACAAATAAATATAATTAATAGGAATTTCATAATTGGCAAAAAAACTTGAAGCCATCCTAAAAACAGATGTTGGATTAATTCGTAATTCTTGACAATTCTATTATAACATCCTAACCTATTTAATAAATTAGAGCCTTAATTAAATGTATGTATCGTTTACCTTACATTGAAACATACTTACTTTTGAGAAATCATGCGTTTTATCTACAATTTTCCTGTATACAGGAGATTTGTAACATTTGTATGCTTAAGTTTTGGCCAATCATCACCGACTATTTTTTGCATTTTTTAATCATTTCAGCACCAAAAATTTTCCTTAAAAAACGTATGTATTAAAATTTTTTCAATGGTAAAAAAAGTTTTGGTAACTATTTGATAAATTAACCAGACGCAAATAAAAGTTGACAAAGCAATTGAAAACTGTATTGTTTTAAATTACAAATGTTTGGTACTTTTAAGATAGAAGGTATATTGATGTCTGTTGGTCTGAATAACAGTATTTTGTATAAATTTAACTAAATATAATTAATAAATCTAGATATTCTATTATTCATACTATCATTTGTAACCAACTCTAATTGCCGTAATAATCGTTACTATAATTGTAATGATTATTATTAAGCATTCAATTTAGATGATAATTATGGAGAATGCTGGGGGGTACGAATCGGGTGTTTCTCTTGAACATTAGAACAAAGCATATGGATAAAGAGAACCCATGGATTTTGGTCTCTGCAATGCATTGTGTTGTATAATGTATAATGGTTTAAGTAATTAATAATTTTCTAAATATACAACATTGTTATTTTGGTAATTTACCTATTAAGTAAAAAATACTTACAAAATTGGCGAATGCACCGGGATTAAACCCTAAAAATGTAATAAATCATCAGAATACTGAAAATGAACCCAATAAATTTAATGTAGAAATTTATAAATGATAAATTGTCAATAAATAAAAAGAATTAAAAAAACATTATGGTAAAATAAAAAATAATAACGTATAATCATAGAAACCCATCTAAAATGGAATATTATTTATTGCCTACTGTCACTTAGAGAGTTAATTATAATAATATAAAATATCTAACATTTTTAATATTAATTTTAAGAAAAATTTATTCTTCATAAAAAGTTCTGCATGTTCTAATATCTAAAATACAATCATCAGATATAATTTTTTTTCAGCCGTATACGCGGTTTGTCAAAAAATATTAATCTTACTCAAGAGTAAAGTCAAATGATAACATATTTTCTAAACATAGTCATATTTTGAAGTTATTTTAGTATATTAAAGTATCAATTATTATAATTGTTAAGTTTAATTAAAATTAAAATGATACATACTATATATATTGTTGTAGGGTAAACCACATAGTTATTAGACACTTAAGGAATATTATTTATTTAAAATTTATATATGCCGTTGTTTTAAAGATTTTAATTTTTTTTCTTATAAATATATAAAAAGGATAGTTTGTTTGTTTACACTTTATTTGCGTTTACTTAAAAATAAGAATATTTGAATTTTTAATAATAGTTTTATAAAAACATGCAAAAAAGTTTAGTAATTGGACATTTCATATAGTAATTACACATGGACCAAAGTTATTGGACATACAATTTATATATAAACATAACAACTTTACATCAAATAACATAAATTGTTAAATATTTTTTTAAAATGAATTGCTGTTTTAAGTAATTTTTTTTATTTCGTTTTTGTAAATATCATATAATTCATATATTTTTTTTCTGTATTCTGAAGGTAACTAATTTCTTGGTCTGACTTCTGAAATGGTTTGTTGCAAATATCATTATTATCATTTATAATGTTTAGGCCGGAACAGGATGATTTATAAATATATCCAATAGACTGGGCCAAAAAAATTGACTATTTTTTTTTTTTGAAAAATATATCGAGAATGTCATTCAGAATGACAAAAAAAAAATTTCGTGAAAATTTGAGCCCTCAATATTAATTTTAAGAGGTCTATCATCGCTATTTTTGATTTTTAGTCATAATATGATGTTTTACGTTGGAACTGTCAAAACAATAAAGTGAAAAAAATTCCTTGTCACTTATTTTTATAAAAAATTAAATTCTCTACAAAAAAGGTCTGATTGAAAATTTTCGCCAGACGAGCCGTTTCCGTGTAATTGAGCTTAATAAATCGATGTGTTTTTTCGATTTGCCCTTTTTACTTTGAAATTTTGTAACTAATGAATCAATGAATATTTAAAAAAGCTCACGTCGGATTCTTAAAGGAAATTTAATGTTCTACAAAAAAGGTCTCGGAACATTTTTGCCTAAATTTAATTCTTCAAAAGTTATTCACGAAGAAAAAATTGAAATTTTAAGTTTTTCTTCGATTTTAATCGTGAATAACTTTTGAAAAATTAAATTTAGGCAAAAATGTTAAGAGACCTTTTTTGTAGAACATTAAATTTACTTTAAGAATCCGATGTGAGCTTTTTTAAATATTCATTGATTCATTAGTTACAAAATTTCAAAGTAAAAAGGGCAAATCGAAAAAACACATCGATTTATTAAGCTCAATTACTCGGAAACGGCTCGTCTGACGAAAATTTTCAATCACACCTTTTTTGTAGAGAATTTAATTTTATATAAAAATAAGTGAAAAGGAATTTTTTTCACTTTATTATTTTGACAGTTCTAACGTAAAACATCAAATTATGACTAAAAATAAAAAATAGTGATGATAGACCTCTTAAAATTAATATTAAGGGCTCAAATTTTCACGAAATATTTTTTTTGTCATTCTGAATGACATTCTCGATATATTTTTCAAAAAAAAAAATAGTCAATTTTTTTGGCCCAGTCTAATATCCAATATTTTTCGGGTGGTATGTTAAAAGTATTTTCCGAATTTATTAATTTTGTTGCCATTAGTTTTTTATGTTCTCTATCATGTCCTGTATTTAAATCACTGTTATTCTGCAAGATGTCTTGTGACGAAGAAATCACTATATTACTTACTCTCTAAAAATGAATTAGTCAAAAATGTCAAAGCGAAAAAGCAGCCACTAATAATTCTTGTCGACAGCAATTTTTATCCAGGACATTTAGCAGTCAATTCATTTGAAATATTATTCGCTGAATCCCTAAATGTCGTTAAAAGTTATAAAAGTAGAACAGTTTTTGAAATTAATCAATTTTACATATAATATGGAATTGACTATGTCTCAAAAACTGCTTAACTTTTATAGTTTTTGACGGTCTTTTCGGATTTAGGGGACAATTGTACATACGAATTGGCTGGTAAATGTCCGGGATACAAATAGAGTATGACATTGGACATATGTCCAATAATATAAATTTACATTTTTATCAACCAGTAATTGGACTATGGCCATTTTACTGTTTGTTTTCAGAATTAAAATTAAAACGCATTAAAGTGACAATGTTTAAACCGTGAGGAACACATTTAAACCACACACTGATCTGTACACTTTTTAGAAATATTTTTTATTGTAATTTAAACACAGCCCTGCTCTTAACAAAAAAACAAAAATCTTACCACCGAAGTAGCGTGCGAACTTTTTTGTCCTATATTGGACCCAAAATAAAGTAGTTCTATATTATTACCGACTGAGATAGTTATAATTGTATACAGCGGCATCTAATGATTTGACTTTAAGGTAACTATTTATAGAACTCTTGTTTTTACAGTATTAATGTTAATTGATAATAATAATAATAATAATATTTATTTATTTTAAAATAATTTGTATATTTAAAGTAAATTACAAAAATATTGGAAATATTGTCACAGGAGAAAAGTATAGAGCTAATATGTTAAAAATTCATTGAGATCATATGGCTCCATTTGAACTAAATAATTAAAAACATTTGATTTAAAACTATTAAAATTTTGAACAGTCTTAAGACGAGTTGGTAATTTATTATAACAGACAATACATGAATAAAAACAACTTTTTCTTTCATATATGGTTAATCTATGACTAGGATACATGTAACAGTGCGTTCTTGTGTTTCGACTAGATTTAAGTTGTTCAAACAAGTGCTTATTTTTAAACATAAAAATCAGTATTTCGTATATATATAACCCAGTAACTGTCAATATTTTACTTGATTTAAACAAACCTCTACAGGACATGTCACTTTTTTATTATTAATAATTCTAACTGTACGTTTCTGTGTGACAAAAATGTTTTTGATATTTTTGCTTCTTCCCCAAAAAATAATCCCGTACCTTAGCAGAGATTGGAAATTTGAGAAATACACTACCATTAGTGTTGACTTATCAAGGTAATTTTTTAAAACTCGTAACGAGTATGCTACCCCATTCAATTTGCTACATAAAAAAAGTGTCCGATAACTGTCTACTTATCCCTACTGTTATAAATAGTTCTAACACTTTTAATAATTTTCTTATTTTTTTCTTTTAGGTAAAACTCGAATGTAACGTGGGCAAACCCTCCCGCGTGATACACATCCGCAACATACCCTCTGACGTGTCGGAAGCGGAAATAATCCATTTGGGACTGCCGTTCGGGCGCGTGACCAACGTGCTGGTGCTCAAAGGCAAGAACCAGGCCTTCTTGGAGATGGGCGACGAGTCGTCGGCCACCCAGATGGTCAACTACTTCAGTACCTGCATGGCGCAGCTGAGAGGCAGAGCGGTCTACGTCCAGTACAGCAACCACAAAGAGCTCAAGACCGATCAGACGCATTCGAATGCAGTAAGTATTTTTTAATCAACTCCGTTTTTATAATAAAATAAATATGCATAAATATAACTTGAAACTTAAAACTTGAAACTTTAAAATATCTAAATTGGCCTGTATTAGGGTGTTTCAAAAAAACCTTTTTTTTTTTCTCGGAACCACGCTCAAAAGTTTCGTATAGATATAAAAATGAGCCTGTGAAAAAATGAGCTCTTAATTTCAAAATTAAGATGTTCCGCATCGCACTTTTCGATTTTCCATAAGAATAACATAGGAAACATTATTTTTGTTTCTTTTTATTTTTTTAACTAAAGAACAATAGGTCGTCCTTTAAAGTTCTTGACATATTTTTGTAGAGAATTGAACGCTCTACAAAAAAGTTTTCTTATGATTTTTTGATAAATTTGATCCTTCTAAAGAAATTTAAGGTCAAAGTTCAAATTATACAAAATTTTTGGGTTTTTTTATCTTATTTGGCGAGTCTGCCCGACTCATTTAAAAAATTTTGAAATATTTTTGTAGAGAATTGAACGCTGTTTTTTCGAACTTCCAGAGCTCAAAAACAATATTTCGATTCTTTTTTAGCACTTTGAACTAAACAATACAGAAAAAATCCGAGAAAACGACTAAATTGATGGTTAATTTCACTTAAACCTTGAATAACTTTTAACCAAGTTCACTTACCGAAAAATGACTCTAGACCTTTTTTGTAGAGCGTTCAATTCTCTACAAAAATATTTCAAATTTTTTTAAATGAGTCGGGTAGTTAAAAAACACAAAAATTTCGTATAATTTCAACTTTGACCTTAAATTTGTTTAGAAGGATCAAATTTATCAATAAATCATAAAAAACCTTTTTTGTAGAGCGTTCAATTCTCTACAAAAATATGAATATGAAGAACTTATTGTTCGTTAGTTACAAAATAAAAAAAAATATTACAAAATTAAAAGAAACAAAAATAATTTTTCCTATGTTATTCTTATGGAAAATCGAAAAGTGCGATGCGGAGCATCTTAATTTTGAAATTATAGCTCATTTTTTCACAGGCTCATTTTTATATCTATACGAAACTTTTGAGCGTGGTTCCGAGAAAAAAAACAAATAAAAGGTTTTTTTGAAACACCCTAGCCTGTATATATGGGTTATTTTTAAATTTCTTGTACATTTGTTGTCCCTCAACTTTAATATTTTATAAAAAAATTGAGTTGGAACTTTAGTAAGCGAAATCAATTGGTTTAAGTGTTTTTATTAACCATATATTGGCAAAATTGTAAAATTTTAAATTTAACCCTATAAAAAAAATTAAACTTTCCCCAACACTACAGAAAAGGAAGCTGTCCCACTTCCAATAATATTTACTACTTAATTCCATTTAAATATATTAGAGTAAAATAGCATCCTCGTTTTTTTATATCGTTAAGAATATATTCGAAATATTACAAAAAAGCCCATTTGTGGTAATATTTAAAAATACAAGTGTTTAAAATAACCCCAAAAGTTTGTCCCTTAATTTGGGTCACAGCCTTTACAAATGACTTGAAGCCACAACACGTTTTTCTGTATTTTTTTATACTACTGTGTCACAGTAATAAATAGTATATTATGTATCAAGTTTGATAAACGCCATTTTATACACGAATTTAATTTAATTAATGAGTGTATAGAAAAGTTTATAAACGAGGTGCATACTATCCTTTTTCTACGACAAATACTTATTATTATCTTAAATTGATTTAAATCAAAAATTTGTAAAGAGCGCCATCTATGAAACCATAGGGGAATCTGTGTGTCACCGTCAAATGTCACATTTTTACATTTTATAAACACAGATTATAAAGATCATAAATCGCAATGTATTTCTTGAAAATTGACAGTTTTTTACAGTGAAAGTAAAGAAAATGTTTTATGAGGACTTTACAGTGGAGTCCGTGCCCGAATTTAAGTTAAAGTTTACTGCCGGCGAAATTAAAAGGTCAGTACAATGTTCATATAAACTTTTCAAATATTGGCGTTGAGAAACTATTTAATACTTTTGTATTTTTGTATGGAGATAATAAAATAGCTTTCACATTTTACAAGAAAGGCACTTTATTTTAACGATTGTATGACATTTGACAACTGTCAACTAACTTAAAACTAACTTCAGCCCGTGACTAAAAGGATATAAAGCGACAACTTGTTAATGTGTATTTAAAAGGTCACTTAGTGTCATGGAAACATGTACGATAATGGGCGATAGTGGGAGTAGAAAAAAGTAGTAAAAGTTTGATTCTTAAAAGAAAGTATCCTAGTAATGGTTTTAAGGGCGAAAATACAAATAGTCAATGTATTTTGCCTCAAAGAAGCTGGAAAAAAATTTTTGGTAGTTCAACGAAACAATGTTTATATTCACCCATAATATAACAAGTGGTATGATTATCATCGATGATATTTTCGAATTGAAACCGAGCTGCAGATTTCACGAGTCCGCAGGACGAGTGAAATGTGCTGCTTCGGTTTCATTGAGTAAATATCATCGATAATTAATCATACCACGAGCTATATTTAGTGAGAAAATATAATGAATTTTAGGATTTAACGAATTGTTAGTTTGGCATTTGAAATTAAAACGTACTTTAAAATATAAAAAGACTTTAATAAACCTTATTTATTCAAACTTACCTTAATTTTATTATCGTTTACACCAACCCATCGATCTTTTAGAGTTTATAATTCATTATTTTAATCATTTAACAAACATAGTATTTAAATGTCAACAAATGTCAAATCAAAAAAAGTGTCAAAATCGTTAGCAACGTGTAAATAAGGTGATAAAAAATATTGCCGCTGTGATAAAATGCGTAACCATGGAATACTGGCATTTTATTGGTTCTAATTATAATGAATTGTATTGTCACCTTAATATTATTACTAATAACCAAAACTTTTTATTAATTTGTAGCTAGTTAAATTGGACAAACTGGCTCAATTTTTTTTATAAATAATAAATTTATGTTCTTTTTTCCTAGTGTAAATAAAACTTTGAAAGGATTATTAACAAGCAAAAAAATATATTTTCAAAATGATTTTTTTTCTTTTTTCTTTTTAAAGGTCTTATTTAAAAAATCCAACTGACAACTTTTAGGTGTTAAATAACACCCCTAAATATACAAAATTTTGAAAAAAACAGGTTTGTAGATTATGTTTTTGTTTTTACTTTTTCTTCTTTAAATACACAAAAATTTTGAAAATAACCCATGTACAGTGTGGAAAGAATCAAAAAATGTTTCATGTTCATAAAATTAATTAATTTTGCCGAAAAGAACGTAATTTAACAGAAAATTTAATTACATTTAATGCAAATGCAAAATTAATTAATAATTTATTTATTATGGTAATTATCGTTAAATTTTAATATGAGTAATAATAACACAAATGTTAATTTGTGCATATTTTTCTCGTATAGTTAATGACGCCGTAAATTTATTAATACATAGGTAATTAGGTTTGTTGGAGTTTAATTCGGCTGAAAATTGTTCAATTTTAATATGTATTATATGCACAAATGTTTATCAGAACTTAAACTAACATTAAACAATCATCAATGTTTCCTTTAACTGTATTTACATTATGGTGGTAGTCTCGTTATTATGTACATAGATATGAAAATAAAAAACATTCGCAATTAAGTACGTACGTACGTACGCTCTGATTTTTTAAACGTCGTTAGCATCGATTCGTTATTTTTAACATACATTTTTTGTTGGCCTTATTAAAAACCACGTTCATTAATTTTTGTTATCCCTAACAAACAATACATAACATCAAATATCTGAGCTATCATTAAATTTTTAATCAAAGTTCGAATGTAAAGCATATTTTAATCACAAAAAGTTTTGCAACACGACAAATTTTCACCGGTAAAAACTTTCTCGATAATTTTTTAAAACTTTAATTCGAAACTAAGGCTAATTTATATTGGATCGAATTGTTCCATTGAAAATAAATGTTTAATCAGTTTTTTAAGGGTAATGAAAACTTTTCATAATACTGCATTATTTATTCAAATTTTAAAACCTTTAAAAAAGGGGATCTCATTAATTTTAACAACCCCATATTTAAATATCAATGAATATTTTATTAACTTCGCAAAGAAAATCCTCATTTTTAAAATGATTTATTAATTCATTTAAATCAGTTTTTAAAGAATAATTAGGGCTTTTTACATTATTTAAAAATAATTAATTAAAAATTACATCTTTTTCTTGAAACTTTAAATTTGGGTTAAAATAAAATATCCATTAAAACTTAATGCTGTTTGCTTGTACCGGGGATTAAACTTTTTCTTCCGGGAAAAACTTCAGGAAAAATTTCTCAGATGAGGCCGATAAAATTAAATTAACACAGGTATCTCGTCTTAATAAATCAAATATTTGCGAAAGGTTTTAACCCAAATTATGTTTTCTTCTGAGAGAGTGTTTTCAACAGGTAGTCTAAAAGGGGCCGAAAATAAAATAAACTCGCAATATCTGATTTTGCGTTATTAATTAGCTAAAATAATATTTGACCCCTTTTGGGGTTGTTTTAATCAGAACAGGATAATCAAATCAACTCGGGCTAATTAAATTCTACGCAGTGATAATTACAAGAAATATGTAATCAAGATCTTTGTGAATTAAAAATCCATTTGGTGAGTGACAAAGTATCTAAAACAGATTGACCTGTAAAACTGAAACTTCTTTACGATTTAACTGCTTTCTTATCAGCAATGATCTGATTTAAATTCATTGTAGCAATTCCTTCAAAAACGTACTGTTCAATAATTTCCGCGACACTTAAATTTTACTTAACTACATTGTCCATCGTCAATTATCATCTCGACGATACAATGTCTCGTAAACATGGCCGATAGAGATAGAACGGGCGCATTTATTGCCCTCTTAAAAGAACTTTTCGATGCCGGAACAAATCACGTTTAATACCCCCGACAAGGTAATAAAAAAGTTTAGTTACTTCAGTTTTGTTTGTTTCCCGA